TGTTGCTCACTGCTGGTAATAAAACTGCTTTGTGTGAGATGAAAATAGAACCATCAGTAAATGGGCAAACCTCTGTCTAAAGGAGCCAGCTGAGGTCAACACAGTTCCTGGAGTAACATCTTTAGTCCAACTCCAAATTCTTCTCAAAAGATTCTTTGGCATTTGCTTTTATCCTCAGCTCATCTCCCCTTGGATTTTCATTCTTGCTCTCAGTCATCCAGTTCCAGACCAAAGTGGCTGTAGAGATCTCGTGTGGTGGTTCCCCTCAGAGCAGCTGCAAAACATAGCAAAGTAGGGGTTAGGCCCCTTCAGCAGATTCCACCCTCAAGTACTCATTTCAAACAATCCTCCAAACAAACAGAACAAGATCACGGTACCAAACAACTGAGCCACTTTAAACATAAGCGCTAAAATAAACAGTGGAATCAGGAAAAATTAACAATAATCACTTTTTTTATACTACATGATAAACAGGAGTGAACTCTGAATTGGTGAAAATTCTCATTAAGCATAAACTTCATTGGCAAGTCAAAATATAAGGAATCTGACTCCAGCCCATTAGTGAAACTCACAGGTAGTATACATGAACATCTCTAAAGTGACAAAGATTTCAATATTTTAAAGACTATATAGGTAAAGATAGGGCATTTTTCTTGAGAGAAGTGACAATGATCTTTATCCTGCACGACTGAGAGATGAACATGGTAACAGACAAAGGGACAGTTGTCTTTAGAGAGCACTGCAGGGCATCTCCTCTTGTCTCCTCTCCCACTCTACAGCCTGCCCACCTATCTCCTCCTCCTCCTCAGAACAACAGCCTACAGTACAACAGCAACCCAGTGTTTAAGTGTACTCTTTGTGAAAGTGTGTGTGGATCTGTGTTTGAGACAAAGTGACAGACAATGCCGAGGGTGGGAGGGGTGTATTTGACAGTGAACTTATGTACGAGTGTATGTATGTGTCTGCATGATAGGCAGAGATCATAATTGTGTATGTGTGTGTGTGTTTAAGTGATGTCAAAGGCTGCCATTGTGTCAAAAGGGAAACACCAGCTCCATTCTCTAAGAGGTCATTATCATCCTGACTCCCCACTGTACGGACAAAGAATTTAAAGATACTAATATGGACTTAAAATAAAATATCACCCAGATTTAATCTCCAAGAGAAGTGGAAAGTGAGACTAAAGCATCTGAGGAGCATACTATGCAGCTATTACAGTTCCTGGGAAAAAAACAAAACAAAACATTGGGGGGGCACAAAACTAATGCAATACATGTCCTCTGCAAAGGTCAGAGGACTAAATTAGGGGATGTCCTGGTTTCATCTTACAGCACACTCACACATGCGCAAAGAAAAGTAGGTAAAAAGTAAGGTTTGTTACGACATACATACAGTACTGTGACTCACCAGCACTGTGCTAGCAGCAGTGTGAAAGGTGTGAACTCCTCAATACTTCCTCAACCTCGTGCAGTTGCAGCATGTGGTGTTTGCTCACACTGCAGTTCCCCCAGAAATACAGCACATTCATGACTATATGACAGCTAAACACTGCACAGGGAAGTTGTAAGGAGGTGGTTATACAGGAAAGTCATGTGTCCACAGCCTGTGACTGTTGCACTGGCACTACCTGATCAGTAACTTCCAGTGGCTGGTCTACTTAAGCTGGATGAGGTGCAATGTTGAATCCAGTCAGGCCAAATAAGATACTCTTATTTTAATTCAAAAAGGGTTAATCTAATGGGCTTGAATTTTAAATGAGGTAAAAACTCCAGAAACACTTGCAGTTGAAAGTTGTTTCTCCTTAGTCTACAAGTGTTGCTGGAGTTTGGAAAACATAAGACTTCTTTCCTTCTCCGTGTACCTTGGATGTAGGTAAAGTTGTCCCAGAACTCTCTGCTATGTTTCTATTTAATATTTTATTGACAGCTCAAAGGAAACATAATCAGTGATGTGGGATTCAATACCATCTAAATTTAAAAGGAAGGTTTGCATTGGTTTTTGATTCAGCTGTCAGATGGAAACAAGATGTCACTATGTTGCCCTCTGGTGGCTGGATATGGAACAGCCTAAATCTCAATAAACTGTTATGTGACCATATAAAGACCATCATGTTTAGCTTACATTTTTGCTACATATAACAGCTGCAATACCTAATAAGATGTTTCCTTCAGTGTTGTTTAACAAATCCACACACAGTGCACTATAATATTTTACAGGTGCATACTCTACAAAATGAGTCTGCATGTTCTCCCTGTGCCTGCATGGGTATTCTCTGGGTGCTCCGGTTTCCTCCCAGTCCAAAGACATACTGCTTAGATTGATTAGTGACTCTAAATTAGATATTATCCAGAAGGGCATCCGGCATCAAAACATAGTGACCCCTAACGGGAACTGCCGAAAGTAGAAGAAGACGACTCTATAAAAAACCATAAGTTATTAGACTGTGACAATAATGTCTGTATATGATCCAGTGGTAAATTTGATGTTGCTATTAACAAAAGGTCTCTATTTAATTAATCTCAGTTATTTGAATAATCTTAAAGACAGGTATAGTATAGTTTTGTTTTTTTAGGTCTTAATCACACCAGAAAAGAACATATTGTTGTATGTCTCATCTAGTCTGTTCAGGGTTCACACTGCCTGATAATAAGTGAGCAAAGAGGTGTAAACATGAGTCACACAGACAGACAGACAGACAGACAGACAGCTCATTCAATTAACAGTTTTAGTTAGCTGTTATACAACAACACTCATTTTTGGTGTGGAGAGCTTGCAAAGAAATGGCTGAAAATAACTCATAAGTACTTGATTTAATCTGTCAAGGCTACAACAAAGGCCATGGCTAACAGGGAGGGACGAGAGGATGCATCCTATAAATGTCTGCCAAGATCAGGGGACATGTCAAATATAATTCACTGACTGTTCCTGAATTGCTGACTTTCTTACAAAATGCCACACAACCAATAACTTAGTCTTACTAATTCATATCAAGCAGATATGCTATTATGAAGACCTTGACTGATTGAAGCAGTGCATGTTTGGTATCTAGGCTATAGCAAATTAATACTAATTGAAAACCTGTATTGTGAGTAGTGCTGTAATGCTGTGGCTTTTGAGGCAGACATCATTTAAAATCAGTAATCACTATTGTATCATGAAAATCACTGTCCATTGTTGTACCCATGATTCTTTTCACTGCTGTTTCAATTATTTGCACTACAAACAAGTGAACAGGAACGATATGTATGTATGAGCACTTGTCTTACCGATACGGCCGAGAAGTGACTGCCCAATGTCTTTGATGTCATTGTATTCATGCAGCTTAGCAATATGATGATCCAGCTCCTCTACTCTGTATCCTCTGGAGAAACACACATACAACTGGTGTCACACAAAAGCATATGTGCAAATGCTCATACAGATATACACAAACACTGTATAAAGATCTCTAAAACAGAAAAGTCTGATTAATACGGGCAAAGCAATGTGCAGAAAAGCAAACTTCAATCTTAGTATTATGGATATTTCAGGAATTGTTGGGATCATCACAATTGATTGTCCTCTAATCTTAAAATGAACCATTAACAGTCAGACACTAAACTTTGACAAATACCATTCAAACTGGAGCTCAAAAACAGAATTAGAGGACAGAAAAACACAGACAGCTGTACTCACTCAGCCTCCAGCTGTGCTATCTCTGTGTCCAACTGCTCCTTTCTCCTTTCCAGCTGCACCACTTCCTCTGCAGGGCTAACTTTAGCACTTGGGGTTACTTGAAGCTTTGAGGTGCAAAGCAGGTAGCCATGACACTGGAATGCACATGTGGCACTACATACAGAATTTGTGTGTGCATGTTACAAAACAGTGAGAGGGTTTACTTACAGGTGATTTAAAGTTGGAGTTTACTTTCTTAAACTTTGAGAATGGTGTTCTAGGGAAGAAGGAAACATTTGTTAAACAGTTGGTTAATAAAAATAATAATATGGGTTAGTTATGTACAACATATGTATAACATTCTCAGTTTGCACATGCATAATTGCAGAATGACTGCTGCACATGCTGCTCCCATGCAGCATACATTCTCTTATTATATTCTTATATATTTTTTATTATATGGCTGCATTTGCTGCTTAAAGTGCCTTAGATTTTGTTACTTATTTATCTACTTTATAT